TAATTTGCTTTCTCTTAATAATTTTTGTAACAATCTGCGCCGATAAGATCGGTGACATTGCAGTTATATTATAAACTCTTTCTAAAAATAAATGAGTTCCTGTAGGAATGGAAGGACTAGGCTTCACTATAAAATAGATTTGGGATATCGACAAAATTACAACAATTACGGTGTCAAAAATGTTACGAAAATTTTGTGAGTACAGAGACAGTAGACTAACGCTTAACAGTTTTTGGAAATAGTTTAAGAATGGAAGTTGTGTATTCATGTTTAATCGGTTTGATTGAAGTAAATGACTAAATTGTTCACACTAAACATAAAGCTGTCTGTATAGTGTTGTCATTAAATAAATTAAAGATGCTATCTTTATATTAAATACACACACAATCACTTAGTTCACTGTAGAATACTAATAATAAAAGTTATGAAAATGATGGTTTTCTTTACGTATTTATTAAACTTATTAATATTTCTAAATGTTTCCGATAGGAAAAATGAATAATTTTTGGGTAATTGTCACGAGATTAAAGAGGTTTAGGTAACTGTTTCAAATTTGATTTTTTTAATGCGCACATACAGTAAGTTACAATTATACAATGATACTTTACATTTTAATATTGTAGTATTTTGACATCATTTAATAAGGATGTTAAATTTGAAGTCGCACATTTTTAAATTACCACTTCTAAATGTACAAATCGAAGCAACCTCCTTGTTAAAGATAATATGCTTGTAGCTAAGAAGAGTATATTCTTTTAGAAGTCGGTTGATCATGACGTGTTTTTCTCCAGAACTCCAATAGTTGGTAAGATGAGTGTACTTCCTACTTAAATAATGCATTCTTTGAGTTGCTCGGCAGTGTGACCCCAAGTAGTTTTCCATGAGTTTTAGGCGTTTTTTAATTTTGAAGGCTTCAATAATAATGAGTTTTAAGGAGCGGATAGGAACGATGGTTTTTGCTTTTTCGAAATTTATTTTGTGACCTGTCTGAGTATGATGTTGGGCTAGAGCTGAAGTAGTATCGGAATGTTTGACAGATATAGAATGTTTGTAAATACGGTTGTGGGTTCGTCGGTTTGTCTGTCCTATGTATGTACGTGTGCAACTGGAACAAGGTATCTCGTGGACACTGTGGATGTGGACGCATAAAAATTAATTGTACTGATTGAGGCCAGACCTCCTTTATATAACTATCAATTAAAAGACCCTTAATTGTTGAAGCAAAGATTGAAGAGTTTTTTTAGCAGTTCTTTTCACATTTATAGGATGCACCCAAAATTGTCTTTTATTTTGCGTTTCTTCGTCCTTTAGGAGAAACCACTGCCAGAAAACTAGTGTAATTTCGTCGTTATCTGTCCAAATCTTTAATAAAACTGATTGCAGTATGGTTTATGCAAACATTTTGTTTCTCTTGAAAACAAAATGTTTCTTGTGGAAACAAAAACGTTTTCGTTTCAAACAAAAACGTTTTTGACTAAAACAGTTTTGCTCTTTCTGTGTGCGGCCACCCTTAACTTTCATCATAAATTAAATAATGGTATTATAAGGGATCTAATGTGTCTTTAACATGGAGCCAAATGATAAAAACTTTATTGAAGATTGATTTCGCGCGTCTAACTGACATTTGTCAAAAAAACTGACTATGAAAATCATTCATAGACCAATCTTTGTGATTTTTAGCCCATTGAACCCTTTTTTTCTTTAGGGCTGGTGTGAGTAGCGGTTTTTTTGCAGGTTGGAAACCCCAGATCCTTTATTCGCCGAGAAGCTATTATTGGTTAAATACACTACGACTGATATAGGAGTAGACGTCGCGCGCTAGCAGATTTCAAATATTGTACCGAGAGCTCAGTTGATCGAGAACCGCTTAGCTGTATACAACTGTATACACTTGTATACAGCTTGTATACAGCTAAGCGGTTCTCGATCAACTGAGCTCTCGGTACAATATTTGAAATCTGCTAGCGCGCGACGTCTACTCCTATATCAGTCGTAGTGTACTTGGGCGAGAGTTATGCATGATTTTCGTTAAAATTCTTTAAGGTTTTCTGTGTGCCAAGACAATATCTCCAATTTTTCTTTTATCTTGTGCTGTTGCAATTTTTTTTTTCGACCACATTTTTGTTTGTGCCGTGGGGACAAGTCGAAATTTTCGTTTTTTTTTATACAGTTACAGTTTCCCTTGAAACTTTAGAAATTGATGCTATTTTTCTGTTGGATTGATTATTGTTCAATAATAAAGTTTTTATTTCCACTATTTTTCTTGGTGAGATGTCTTTAGCATCTTCCATGGTGTTCTGATACAACTGGTGTAACAAACATGCAATGTTTCTAAATTCAAAAAATAGTATACGTGTGTCAGAATATTACTAGAGAGCAAAGGAAATATTTATTATAACTCTTAATACCAAGAATACAAAACAGTATGCACACGAGTTGCAAGCTAGGCTGGACAGCACTGACAAACACTAACACTTGAGCATCTGACTCAAATACTAACACGCTTGCTGTGTTGCTACTATTGTCAGACTATTTGTTATACTTTTATAAAGTGTTACAAGATAATCAAATGGAAACAAATGCTTTTTCTTTTTTAAGTTCCATCTTCTATCGAAGGTTGGAAATCATCATGGCTATGCGGACTCTGTTGACTGCCGCTCTAAAAAGTTCTGCACTACTGCATTCAAACCATTCCCTTAAGTTCTTAAGCCAGGATATTCTTCGTCTTCCCACATTTCGCTTTCCTCGGATTTTGCCCTGCATAATAAGTTGTAATAATGCGTATTTTTGCCCTCTCATCACATGTCCCAAGTACTCAAGTTTTCGTCTTTTAATAGTTAATATTATTTCCGCCTCATTTCCTATCCTTCAAGTTACTTCCATGTTTGACATTCTTTAAATCCATGATATACGTAGGATTCTTCTGTAACACCAAAATTCAAAGGCAGTCAACTTATTCAGATGAACTTGTTTTAGTGTCCAAACTTCCAAACCATAAAGAAGAGTAGAGAACACGTAATATCGAAGCATTCGGTGTACTGGCTGTCAACTCTTACCTTGGCAGTTTGATTCCAATATAAATTAAATATAATTTTCAGATCACGACTGTCAATATTTTTGCTTTTTAATATATCTACAAACTTTTTATGTTGAACTTTATCAAATGCCTTTTCAAAGTCTATAAAACATAAGTACATATCCTGATTCATGTCCATGCATCTCTGAGCCAGCACATTCAAGCCGAACAAAGCAACTCTTTTACTCATACCATTTCTAAAGCCAAATTGTGTGTCACTAATCTCATATTCAAGAGTTTAATCAATTCTGCTGTGAATTATTTTCAAAAATATTTTAAGTATGTTACTCATTAAAGCTATTGTTCTGTGGTCTGAGCAAGTTGTTGAACTTAGCTTTTTGGGAATTGCTGCAAAGGTTGATTGCAGCCATTGTCTGGGGATTGTGGCAGTCTGATATATTAAATTAAAGAGTTTAACCATTACATCAATAACATCTTCATCGATTAGTTTAAATAATTCAATGGGCACCTCATCTGGTCCAGTAGCTTTACCCTCTTTTGTGTTTTTGATGGCATAAATGACTTCTTCTCTTAATATTGGTGGTTCGGTATACTCGGTGATTTCTAAAGACAGTTCTTCTCTTTCATCATTAAATAGTTGTTGAAAGTAATTGGTCCAGTGACATAATCTCTCCTTCATATCAGTAATAATATCCCCTTTATCATTTTTAAGGATATTCGTTTTTGTACGCTTTCTAGAACCTGTCATTTCTTTGATTTTTTTGTGTAAATTAAAGCTATCGTACTTTTTATCCAGATCTTCTATTTCCTTGCATCTGTCGGAGAGCCACCTCTCTTTTGCCTCTCGAATTTTCTTTCTGATGTTTCTCTAAATTTCTTTGTATTTATTCAGGTCTTTTGCTTTATGTTTTCTTCGTTCTTCCATGAGTTCAAGAATTTCTACTGTCATCCAAGGTTTTGTTTTTCTTTAAGTGGTTTGAGGGTTTCTTTTCCAACTGACACAAGGGCATGTTGAATTTTTCCCATTTTTGGTCAATAGTTAGAGTTTCTGCATTATCTTCTTTGACTTTCCTTAAGCTCTCGTTTATTTTAAATTTGGTTTCCACATATGTGTTGTCTTGTTTGAGACGTCTTGTATCTATGATTTTCTTGGTGCTAGGGTTGTTGACCTTCTTTAGTTTCACTCTCGTCGACAAAACAACCGGGTTGTGATCGGAGGATATGTCTGCTCCTGGATAAGTTTTAGATGATATTATAGAATTTCTATATCTTCTGTTGACGATAATATTATAATATATTTGATTTCTGACTATTTTGTTGTTATTGTTAACTGGTGACATCCATGTATATAGTCTACGTTTAGGAAGTTTGAACAAGGTATTTGTAATTATGAGTTCCTCATTGACACAGAAATCGACAAGGCTATCGTCACGTTCATTCCTTTCCCCGAGTCCATATCGCCCCACGCAATTCTCCACTTCTCCTTGGCCATTGCGAAACAAATGCATTATTATATTATACAACTTAATTATATACCTTTTTTGCGAAAAAAAACTTTCTAGGTGGCCCTAATAATTTTATCATACACTGTATATAAGCCAAATATTGGCCAAGTAATACAAAGCAGTTTTGGTATTGTTTTTTATTAACCACATCTTATATAACGCAGTGGACTAATAGAAAACATATATTCCTAAACTAACTTAAACCTAACATGTTTTTAATAAATTATTATCACAAAATTTCGCTACCTTAAAAGAACACCGTCATATTTTAAAAAACTCGGACAATTAAGCATATAGCCTATATCTTATAACCTTCTAGTGCAAATCATATGTTGATTATTACAAAAAAAAGTAATAAGATATTTTAAAAACTTCATAATAAAATATTTCTCAGTATTGTACCAATTTGATATAAGTATGAAGGGATTTATCCAAAGTAACGATTTAAGCAAACTGTCTCTTTATCTAATATTATTATTCCCTTCGTTATCTTCATTGGAATTACCCAATTGTTTTAACACACTTAACGCTCTTAAAATAGCTTCAGGTATTGGTGGTGGAGTTGGCAGGTGATCTCCGATTGGCTGAAAACCGTTTTCGTCTGCTATGTACCGGAGTTCTATCCTTATTCCTTCGGGTGAAGTATATGAGGAGAGACCTTGAGCAACTTGAGCTTCTTCCTTTGTACCGGCGTTTTTCAAAAATCCTTTTTCTTCTTGGACTATTCCATTTCCGGTTTCAAAGCTAGAAATATACGAGTTCATATTAAAAATGATCTACAATGAATGTATTTTTTTATAAATATGTTTAAATATTTTTCATATGTTTTAAATCATTATTGAAATTCAACAGAAGTTAATCTGAGTTAGTAAAAAAACTGTAAGTAGTGCAACAACAGCTGCGGAGAATATTATGGATACAAATTCTAATAAAGGATATTCCGTAATGGAATTTAGTTTTTGGATAAATGAAACTTCGTTACCCTACATGTTAAAATAAATCTAATTAAAAATTTGAAATCAAAAGACATGCGGATTTTAATGTTTAAATAAAATGTCTTTTAAATGTTGACCGTCTTGTTCCTGGCACTGCTCCAATCTGGATCTTAAGCTAGCAAAAACTTCGTTGACACATATTCACAGGAATGTTCCCAGTAGCGTACATCCAACTATACGTCCACGTTCGAATACGTTGTTTTAACTGTGCTGTGGTTGCTGGGGGGTCAGTGTATACCACACTCTTTAGGTACAACCACAAAAAAAATACAGCGGAGTTAGATCAGGCGATCGTGGCGACCGCTTAATGCGATGACGGTGCCTGGAAACAATTCTCTAACCGCGTTCATCGAAAGAATGGCTGTATGTGGTGTGGCACCATCTTGTTGGAACCAGGTGCCGTCTTCATTATAACCCGGAAAATTCTGTAGTTCGGGACGCAAAAAATTTCTTACCATGTCGACATACCGCTCGCTGGTTACACTTACATTGCGTTCATTTGGATCTTCAAAGAAATATGGCCCAATTATTCCGTGTGCAGACATGCCACACCACACGGTCACTTTTTTAGAATGGAGTTGCTTCTGGTGTAATTGTCGTGGATTCTCATTAGCCCAGTATCGCGAATCCTGCTTATTGACGTTTCCATCTAAATGGAAGTGTGCTTCGTCACTGAAAATAATGTTCTCCACACCTCCATCATCCCAAAACTGGTTCATTATGATTTCGCAGAAGATGCGCCTCTTTTCGTAGTCTGTCGGCTTCAAAAGTTGGGTTATCTGAATTTTATAAGGATGAAAGTGAAGATCTTGGTGTAAAATGCGATGCAAACTAGTGCGGGATAAATTTAGTTCCTGTGCATGTTCCCGAAGTGATTTTCTAGCATTTTGATTTACAGCTCGTTCAACTCTGTGAATATTCGCAGGTGTTCTAACACGTTTTGTCCGACCAGAGGGCTTCCTATTTGTCGCAGAACCAGTTTCACGGAATTTATTCACCCACAATTTTACTAAGGGAGTTTGAAGGGCAGAAAGATGAAATTTTCTGTGGCACGGGTGGCATCAAAAATAAATCGTAGTAAAAATCTGCCCTATATTGACCAAAAAAGTACTTTGAAAACCTCCAAAAGAATTTCTTTATAGTTTTTTTACAGAAAATCTCTGCTGACGAATTTTTCTCTGCTGACGAAACAAAACAGGAATTTAACCGATTTTGGAGCCTTGGATCTTATAATGCGCAAACGATTTTTATTTCAAGTCTCATTGTAGAACTGCCAAAAAAGGCTATATTAAAGAAACACTAAAAAACGTTTATATTCTACGCAGTACTCAATATTGAACAAATGTATCTGTAAGCAGATGTCTGTCAATACTCTGATAATAACTCCCACAAGAGTGACAACAGCTCTTAAATAAGCAAATAACTGTGCTCCTATTCTCGATCAACGAGGTAAAAAGCAAGGGTCTTTAAATAAAGTTCCTGATGCTAAAATTCAGGCAGTTATCAACCTCTTCTTCTTCTTCCTTTGCCCTATTCGTTTCGGACGTTGGCTATTAACAAGGCTATTTTGACTTTGTTTACGGCACCTCTGAACAGTTCGGTCGATGTTAGTCCGAAACCATTGTCATGAGTGTCGTCTTCTTCCCGGTCCCCTCCTACTATCGATTCTTCCTTGGACTATTAACTGCAGCAGCCGGTACTTAGTATGCCTCATTATATGTCCGAAGTACTCAAGCTTCCGTTTCTTTACGGTTATTAACCACAATAATAAAATACCAAAATATATCTCTCATTATTGTCGTGAACAAACTTCTTTATCATTTCTACCATTTCATCTTTCATTATCTAAAATGTATGACTTATATAAAACTGCAGTTGACGATGCAGTGTCATTTGCCATTTATAAGAAAATATTTTATACAAAATTCAATATAAACTTGCCTCCCAAGAATGACACTTGCCAAGTTTGTGAGTCATTTAAACTGAAACTACTAAGTGAATCAGATGGGCATAATAGACAGTTATTAGAAATACAACTCAATGCGCATTAAGAGTTGACCCAAAAGGCAAAGGAAGCACTTAAAAAAGATTTAAATATAGCTTGACATAAAAACAATATAGAATGTTTAACATATAATTTACAAAACACTCTTCCCTTACCTCAAATTCTAACTAATATCATAGATTATAAGAGCCAAGTATTCTTATACCATTTTGTAATATTCTTGGGAAAACATACGAAAGAGATTAGAGATTTAAGGAAATTTAATACCGATTATATTAAACGCACTATAGAGGAAAATAACAGCCTTAAAGTTCTACGTAGAAAGCTAACGAATGGGAAATGCGAAATTCATAAATTAAGAAACAAGCAAAATGAACTAATATCACGTAGAGACAAGTTAATACAGGTCGTCGAAGAGTTTTACGAGGACTTATATAGAAGTAGACGAGAAGATAAAACAGGAATACAAACAGCCATTTCAAAGAAGATCAAGAATCAAGGTTCCGAACTAATGCCAGAGATAAAGCTAGATGAGATTCGACAAGCATTAAGAAAAATGAAAAATAACAAAGCCCCAGGAGAGGATGGAATCGTAATAGAAGCTATCGTAAATGGAGGAGATATGCTATTAAATAAATTAAGGAAACTATTCAATATATGTTTGCAGCAAAGAGAGGTGCCCAAAGAGTGGAACAATGCTACAACCATCCTTTTGCATAAAAAAGGAGATAGAACGGACCTAGAAAATTATAGACCTATTAGCCTGTTGAACCACATATACAAGCTCTTCACTAGGGTAGTGACATCAAGATTGGAGAAAAAATTAGATTTCTACCAACCGAGAGAGCAGGCAGGATTCCGCTCAAATTATGGTACCAATGATCACCTCCACACAGTAAAAACACTCATTGAAAAATCTATAGAATATAACAAACCTCTTGTTCTCACTTTCATAGATTTTCATAAAGCGTTCGACACGATCGAATTAGACAGCCTTATAGAAGCCATGAATGACAGCAGGATTGACCATAGGTATAGTGAGCTTATTTATAATATTTACAAAAATGCCACTGTGACTGTTAAAATAGACAATAAAACCCGACCAATACAAATTAATCGTGGAATAACGCAAGGAGATACATTGTCGCCGAAATTATTCATAACGGCATTAGAATATGCCTTTAAGATGATCAATTGGGACCACAGAGGAGTAACGATAGACGGCGAAAAGCTTAACCATCTCCGTTTCGCAGATGACATTGTCCTTATCACAGATAATTTAGGAGAAGCTACAGATATGATAAACGAATTGGATTTTGCATGTTCGAAGGTGGGCCTGAGAATGAACTTGACCAAAACTAAGTTTATGACAAATTTGGTCCCCAATAACCATTTGACTATTCAAGACAAAGTGGTAGAACTGGTGGAGAAATATACGTATTTGGGTCATGAAATAAGAATCAGCAGGGATAACCAAACATGTGAGATCCAAAGACGAATTACTTTAACATGGGCAGCCTTTGGAAAACTGCGAGACACACTTAGGGCCAACATACCAATCAGCCTCAAAAGAAAAGTGTTTGACCAATGCGTATTACCGGTCATGACCTATGGGGCGGAAACTATGACTTTAACCAAGACCACGGCTTCGAAACTGAGAGTGGCACAGAGACGAATGGAACGGTCTATGCTGGGAGTGACGTTGAGGGACCGAATAAGAAACGAAGATCTGCGAAGAAGGACGAGTATTACTGATGTTGTGGAACGCATAGCGGAACTAAAATGGAACTGGGCAGGCCATGTAGCGAGAATGCACGATTCACGATGGACGAGCAAAATTACAAATTGGAGGCCAAGAGCAGACAAACGCAGTAGAGGAAGACCACCTACACGTTGGGCCGACGACATCAGGCGTATCACTAAAAATTGGCAACAAAGAGCACAAAATCGTGAGGAATGGAGGAGTTTAAGGGAGGCCTATGTCCAGCAGTGGACGTGATAAATAGAGGCTGGATGATGATGATGATGATGATGAAACATACGAAAACGTATGCCTATCCATGGCTTGAAGGAACTGCTGGAAAAGAAGATCAGGAAGTTGGCTCTTGTATTTGAAGATATTTAGAAAATATACCAAAAAATGTTAAGCATTTGATATTATGATCTGATTAATTAGAAGGTCAGAATCGCAATATCAAATTTACTCTACTTATGTCCAGTCTTCTTCAAACCAATGTTTCCTTTAAAACCATAACTCTAAAATTTCTGGGTCCGGCCGGACATAGATTCCTGCGTAACGATAAGGATTTTGGCGACATTGAATATCAGTTAAAATGTCATGAGAGATTAGATAGTTCAATAGACTACATAAATACTATATTTTATTCTTTTACGATTATAGTAATGAAGAAGTTTTTTAGTACAGAAAGACTTGAAAAGGTTACAGTCAAACGAAAAATCAGCATTAATAAAGAAAAAATCAATTAATTAAACACCAGGCAAATAGTATTAAAGAAGGAAAACCCATATTATATCTATATGATGCCTAATTTTAATGATGAATGCGTATGTTTGTACATACAGCGATGTGGAAAGTCAAATGTAGAAAATTTTTCGACACTACTTATGCAGCTCTGGCCGAATGGTAAACCTTTACCAGATGCAAAAGTGAAAGACATCAAAAGTTATAATATACACCTTATTTCAGATAATGCTAAACCTTTTTCATAATAATTTTGTTGGTGCTGTCAATTTAACAGAAGATGTTGATGGGTTCATTGTTCCGGACTTAGATTTTGAAATGGATCTTGGTAATATAAGTGAATAACATGTTTTTGTTAATTTCAAGTTATTATCATACTTTATTCAAAACTAGCATTTTTTATATATCTAAAAATTCCAACCCATACAACCATGTTTTATCAAAACATTTTCTGTTATTACTATTTTGGCAGAATACGTCCAACCTGTAATTTTGAAAATATCTTTTTTAAAAATAACTCTTTGGAAAATTACCTTAATAAAATCTTCGTACAATTAAAATCAACTATTATACTCATTGTCACAGTATACAAAACTATTTTGTTTTAGTGGGGTACAATAATAATACTTAAATTCAATTTATTAACAATTACTATTTGGAGGTTGGACTTATGCTGCTTAACTACGTCCATTTAATCATACCAATCTGGAATATTATTTAAATACATGCAAAATAAATTAAGTAAGGCTAGTTAGATAAGGCACGAAAACTTACTCGCAGCAGCTGGCTTGAATGGTTATATCTCAGACAGCAGACCACACAATGATATACAAAAAATGGTTTCTGTAGAGAAAATGAAACACAAGACAACCACCTCATTATATTTGTCTAAAAATTGGTATTACTGAAGATAATAACAAGCATCAACTTAATTATTGAAGTTCTCAAGAACAAAATTCGCCAGAGAAAGAAAAAACAGGGATAGCAAAGCCATTCTGATCGCAAAGAAATTGCAAAGAGATCGAAATTTCTCTTTTCCTTAATTTTGTATAATAAAACGTTGGTTTATTTTTAGGTATTACAATATTTTTGATATTCACGTGCATTTATAGTTTTGTCAAAATATAATTTTTTTCTAAACAAACTGTTTTTTCATTAAAAGAGACTATGATTCCATTAATTCGCACATAACTGAATATATATAAACATAAATGTGGGATATCAGAATCATATTAAGAACAGTGATATTAACAAAAAATTCAGTAAGATAACAGTAATTCAAAAACGGTTTAACGGATTTTCATTAGCAATTGTGGAACCGATAATGCTTACCACTTATTTTGTAGTAATTTGGCTTTTTATATTTAATCTAGAATACTATTTTTTGCGAATAATAGTAGAAAAAAATGGGTTGAAATTTGTCTAATCTATGTTTCCCCTTACAATGATATAGTTTATAGAACTGAACAATAAGTAAAAATGAAAACTGCGTATGATCATGGAATGAAAAATTATTTAAATAGTTGTTTTATTTTTTTACAAAAACTAAAATATCATTTGGATTTTTTAGCGCCCTGATAAAAAATGTACTGATAATGTTAATATGCATTATTAAAATCTTACTTGTATTCGTAGGTGCCGTCATAATTCACTTCTTGCTCCTGCCTTACAATTGGTATGTGTTGACCTTGCTGTTGTTCTGGAAATTTATTTTTGTATTCTTGTGGAGCGCAATGGCTCAGGCAAAAGACGCTAAATAATATTATCTACAACAAAAATATTTAATCATTTCTGTGTCTTATTGACTCAAAGAAAGCGTTTGACAGAAACTCAAAAATGTAATCCATCTTCTGTATAATAGAGAACTTTTCCTAAATATTATAAAACCTATCGAAAACATCTACCAAAACAACAAAATGGAAGCCAGAATAGAGGGAAACTTACAGAACCTATAGAAATAGGTAGCGGAATAAGACAAGGGGACTTATTGAGCCCTATGCTTTTAATTTAATCATGGATGAAATCATCAGAAACGTTGATAAAGGAACACGACACAGAATGTTAAATAACGAAATAAAAATACTCTGTTAATCAGATGTTAGGAGGATAAAAGGGACATTAGAATTATCTCTAAGATTTACTATAACCAGAAAGCAAATATCCGAATAGAGCAAGAGACAACGGAGGAAATCGAGATCAAGAAAGGCGTAAGACAGGGTTGTATACTCTCACCGACCTTATTCAATCTATACTCCGAATACATTATAAACACAGCACTTTCGGATCAAAATATAGGTATTAAGATAAATGGCATCCGAATAAACAACTTGAGATATGCCGATGACACGGTACCAATCGCAGAAACTTGGGAAGATCTTCAAATACTAATTAACAAAATAGTAGAATGCAGTGAAGAACACGGATTATCACTTAACATAAGCAAAACAAAAATAATGCTAATATCTAAATCACCACAAAACTTCCCTGACATAACCGTGCATGATCAAATAATCGAACGTGTAAGAAGATATAATTACCTGGGAACTGTTATCAACGAAAATAATGATTGCTCTGAAGAAATCAGAACCAGAATAGAGAAAGCTAGAGCCACATTTACTAAATTGAAAAAGGTGTTCTGCGGAAGAGATCTAAGTCTAAAACTTAAAATTCGCCTTTTGAGATGTTACGTTATGTCAGTTCTCCTCTACGGGATGGAAACATGGACATTGAAAAAGATCGATACCAAAAAGATAGAAGCATTTGAGTTGTGGATGTATCGTAGAATATTAAGAATACCCTGGACAGAGAAAGTAACAAATGTGGAGGTTTTGCGGAGAGTGCGGAAAGAGAAAGAGCTGATACTTACTGTTAAAAAGCGCAAACTACAATATTTGGGACATGTTATGAGGGGAGATAAATACCAGTTGCTGCAATTGATTATACAGGGAAAGATAATGGGAAAGAGATCTATAGGAAGAAGAAGGCATTCATGGTTGAAAAACTTGAGAGAATGGTACAATTGCACCAATTACCAACTGTTTAGATCTGCAGCATCAAAAATACGCATAGCTTTGATGATAGCCAAACTTCGGAACGAAGACGGCACTTGAAGAAGAGAAGAATCAGACGGGGCAATAGTAATAGTCCAAGATGAAAATAGTCTGCAAATACTGGTCCATAGATTTCACATAAGAGCAAAAAAATTTAATATGATAATCGCCATCTCATAAAACTGAAACAGTAGAAATCATCAAAGAACAAACCAGATGTAAAATGGAATTTCTGGTATCAGTGTTGAACAAGTAATGGAAATAAAATACCTTTAAGTGAGAGATTAAGTACAAAAAGCAAATAGACTAGCAGGATGCCTTTTTTTTGAACGTATTCTCTATCCTTCCATTGTTGGATATATGTCTCCCTCAGTTCTCTTCATCTTTCCCAATCTTGAGCTGTTCTCTGCCATGTGGAACCTCCTTGTTTCCTGATGTCATTTTTCCACCTCATCTGTGGTCTGCCTCTTGCCTCTTGATCTCTTTGAAGCAGGACCAATAATGACATATGTTTCAAAAATAAGACCTGACACAGCCACAACAAAAAGGCTACTGGAAACGGCAGAGATAAGAGTACTAAGAAGAATTACAGGAAATACGCTGTGATATTGAAAGAGAAGTAATTACATAATGTACACGTGTATAAATGAATCGACACAAAATAGAAAGAAGAATGAAATGATCACCTAAGCAGAATGTAGGAGACCCTGTTGTCAAAATAACAAGAGATAAATCACCAATCGGCATTACGAACATTTCTGACAGTAGGATTTAAATTTGGTCAAAGGTAACCGTATGCCGGCATCTTTTTTATTAAGACAATTTAGTCTTTTTTCAATTTTTTGGCTTCTTGGATAATTCGTCGTTTATAAAATCAGACGAAGGCTATGGTCCTGGAATTTTGAAAACAAGTCAGATGATTACATCCCTTTGGCGCCAATAACTGTAAACGAAAAAAGGGTCAGGGTCCAATGCAACGGAAATAAAAAAAAAGTCAATTTGATATAAAAAAAATGGTAAGGAATACGTTATAGCTAAAAGTAAGAGCATTTTAGGTAAAATTTCTATACCTGTGTCTCAAAACTCGTTACTTATGAAAATAACATACTGTGCCCCCGAAGAAGGAAAACAACGAATAAACAATGAATGTCAACAACACCAGGATAACGCTTAATATCATTACATAACAAAACTAGGTGAAAAAGGAGAAAATATCCGGAGCTTTGGCAAGCTTGTATTAGTTGCGTGTGATTTGCAAAAGAGTTTTACTACATATAATTTGACATCTAGTATGACTTTCTATAAAGTAAAGTTATGGACTGTATATCCTGTTATGTGTGGCATGAACGAAGAGCTGATAAGATCCATTCATCCAAATACATCTTGCTTATTTCAGTTTATTAAAGACTTACCAGAACATCTAGAATCACTAGTCCTTTATTCCGATACTGGAATAGATCAAAACCGAAAGAGCATATTGCCGATTATGTTTTTAAAAGCACTTGAAAAAAAGAAAAGAAAATCATCATAAGTTCCTAGTTTCTCGTCATACTCATTACGTCAAATGTAATACCGACCATGACACCGTATAGAAATTTATGAAAAAAGAAACGTCATAATTTTAGCATCACAGGACTAGGTATCGGTAAATAAAATGAGGAGCCCTCGTTTTGATGTAAACTTAATTAAACAAACTTGTTTTTACCAATTTTATTGCTCTTGTGGAAATTCCATGTCGATACCAACTTAGTACGTTCCATATCCCTAATAGAGTGTACTTTATTCGTAGCTTACGTCGTTTGTCCTGATAAACTGTCCTATTCCGAGGCAATAGTATTCGTTTCGTAGCAGTGTATTTTTCCGTGTATGGATCGCTGGTCCATAGCTCAACCCCCAACCTGGAGGACCAGAATTTTCTGTCTGGGTTTATTCACATTCGAAAAAAAAATGAAATAGAGACTCTCTTTGGGAAAGGAAACATCGTAAGATACATAAAAGCCAATAGATTAAGATGGGCAGGCCACGTGGTACGGAGTGATGACGACAGACTGATTAGCAATGTGTTTTGGGAAAGACCAGATGGTAAAAGATCGACAGGAAGGCCTAGAAAAAGGTGGAAAGACGCTGTCAGGGAAGACCTGGAGAAGATGGAAGTAAGGCCATGAGAAATAATAGCACAGGATCGGAATCAATGAAAGGCAATAGTAAACGCGGCAAAAACTCACGAAGAGTTGTAAAAGCCAATGATGATGATGACGTTTTTACCTATTTCCCCAAATTCTAACAACGCATTCTATAATAAAATGTTGCTAAAAATAAAACACCTTTTGTTTGGAACAGTATATTTAGGCTACATTACAAGAATGGTGATATAGGCTCTAAAAACAAATTAGGTCCTGATAAACCGTTTCATTGTCTGTATATGCTAAGAAGAGGCAGGTTAACTTCCATATCTAATATTCAAATACTGTTAGCTTATTGTGATTCGGATTCCCTTCGGAAATCGTTCTTAAAATACAAACATTCGTATTCACGAACGTGTCGATTGCACTGTGTTAGTGTTAAGGTCTATCGATGGATGGCTACTTAGTTACATTTAGTCAGTAAGTCAGTATTAAAGTCAGTAAATGTAAGAGAATTTCAGCTAAAATTTCGATACCTGTGTCCACAAACTGTCTAGCAAAATGGCATGAAAAGACTGCCTCTGTTGATCTAAAGCAAATTTTTAGAGACTACAGAAACTTGGCAACAGGGATACATCGAAACGTTATTTGGCTAGTTTAATAACAGTAAAACCTAAAGAAAGAACACGGCGTGGTAACTCAGTCAAAAATAGACAATTTACAGTTCTTTATAAGTACTGTAAGTATAGCAAAATATGTATATTATAGTATATACATATAGTACATACGTATAGTATATAGGAGATCTATATCTACTACTTCTATCATACTTAAGTCCGATTTAAGAGGTACGCAGCCTTCAGATAGCAAGCGATCAGAAGCAGATATCTCATTTGCTCGAAATTTTATTAATACATTTCCAAAATATGAAAGCCACTACAGTAAAAGTCACACTTTAAAGCAGTATTTAGGACAAGAATTAAATTTACAAATCTTATATACACTATATTATAAAGAAAAATTCAATGACACAAAATCCAATGCAACTGACGCCCCTTGAGTTTAAGTGTTTTTGAAACTTATTTAAACATCTTAATTTAAAGTTTAAGAAGCCATCTAATGACATTTGCAAAACATGTGATTCATTATTTCTGAAAATAAAAAGTTGAGCCTCCGAAGAAGAAAAACAAAGATTAGAAAATGAACGCCAACAACACCAGGATAAGGTTTCCTTTCATTATACAAAAAAACAAGGCGACAGAGAAGAAAGTATGCGGAGCTTAGGCAAACTTGTAGTAGTTGCATTTGATTTTCAGAAGTGTTTGGCTATACCTAATTTGACATCTAGTGTGGCTTTCTATAAAAGAAAGTTATGGACTTTCAATTTGACGATCCGCAATATCACCACAAAACGGACATCTTGTTATGTGTATCACAAAGGTGTAGCTCAACGAGGAGCTGATGAGATCGCATCTTGCTTATTTCAGTTTATTAAAGACTTGCCAGAACAGTAGAAAAACTAGTCCTCTATTCTGATACGTGCTCAGGTCAAAACCAAAATAATATATTACCGATTATGTTTTTAAAAGCACTTGAAGAAAAGGAAACTCTAAAAGAAATTTATCATAAGTTCCTAGTTCCTGGTCATACACATTTAGAATGTGATATAGACCATGCTACCATAGAGAGATTTGTAAAAAAAACGCCACAATTTCAGTTCCACAGGACTAGGTATCAGTAATTAAAATGACGAGCCTTTGTTTTGACGTAACATTTATGAAACAAACTGACTTTTTCGGATTTTATAAACTTCTAACAAAGCATTTTATAAAAAGAAAAGAATGTTGATAAATATTAAAATTCTTTTGTTTGAAATAGCGTATTTTCGCTACATTACAATAAAGAATAGTGACATAGGCTTCAAATACATATTAGATCCCAATAAACCGTTTCGTTTAATGTCCATGCTAAGAAGAGGCAGGTCAACTTCCATGTCTAATATTTAGATACTTTCAGCTTATAATAATCCTCTACCCATAGACTATTTGAAATATAAAGATGTTCTCGACCTACTACCCTTTATAGATCCAATCTATCATGGATTTTACCATTCGCTTAGCCACACTCAAACCAGTACCACAAATATACAACGACAGTGATGAAATTTCGAGCTAAGTTTTAATTGGTCAAGTAAAGCATATTTCACAGCACTGTTTTCAATACAAAAATTGACCAATAGTTAAGTTCTCTTTGACGTTATCTCCATTAAAATAATTTTTAAATCTCTATATTTTTGATACAAATATGATAGTGCCATTATATCAAAAACAGAAATGTTAAAACATATTTCGTTTGTTACATCTGTTATAGCACTTAATAAAGTATTTAATGAAATATATTTGGTTTTTTATATTGTTGCGTTCGATTTAATAAACCTTCTCGGGTTTTTTAAATCGAATTTTAAATCTTAACGTTAAAATTGCCCAACTGAAAAACATGCATTTTGGAGTTAACACATGGAGTCAATAAAAGGGGCTATTTGTTGACTATTTTGACTGTCAATAACTGACAATATAAAAATAGCAACAAAGAACATCAAAACCATTTCATCTTTATATTCCAAAACTAAATATCCTATAGACAAATTAGATCAAACAAATGTAGTATACAGCATTAGTTGTACTCAGTGTGAAGCTGAGTATGTTGGTGAGACTGGAAGAAATCTCTCAAATCGCATTATTTCTCACAAAAGTGATTGCAGAATTAAGAAACCATCTTGTGCTTTGGCAGAGCATGTAATAGACAAAGACCATATTATGGATTTTGATAATATTAAAATTTTATGTAGTGAAAGTAATAAATTTAAAAGAACTTTTTTGGAAATGGTTTGTATTAGCAAAAGTGATAATAATTTAAACAAAAGGTCAGAAATTCAAAATCTAAGCAAAATTTATAATTATATTATTTCTATGTAGTTTATATATGCAATCAGTAAAATATCACATTTTGAATTTTCCATGTATTTGTTACATTTTTTCAGGCATCTATCAATGGTGAATAAATCTTCTTCTTTTTTGTTACTAAACAAAAAAGAATTTTTTAAACAAAATTTTATTTTTGACAATATGTCAAAAATAAAAATTTTTAAGTTGGTATTTATGACATTGAGGCTTATTTGTAGCTATTCAATTTTTGTTTACAAATTCAATTGTTTTTGTTAAGAAACTTTATCAAAATTTATTTCAGAGAAACATTTATTAGAATAGGACATTTTTTTAATAATATTTTTTGTAATAAGATATTAGCAGCAGTTTTATATAAAAAACTAATTTTATTTGGTGAGTTAACAAAAAAATTTTTATTTCTAGTTCAACTTTGTAAGATATTTGTATTTTTTAGAAGCTCTTGATAATAATTGTAATCACAATTGAAAGCTCGAGTAAAAAATAGTCAACAAATAGCCCCTTTTATTGACTCCAACCCATCCAAAACACTTTTATTTATATATATATATATATATATATATATATATATATATATAATATATATATATATATATTGTATATACAACATAAATAATTAAAATTAAAACGTATAAAACATAAATTGGTGTCAGAGCATCACTGCAATCGATAAAAACAAAAAAAAAAGAACACAGAAAGAAATATATTTAACTAGAACATAGATTAAAAGAAAGCATATAAACAATTAGGCAAAAATAGGTAAGAAAACGATTTAAAATCATACATAAAACAAAAAAATAATTCAAAAATGGCAACAAACTTGTAACAAAACTCCATCAAGACTATACAAACATCAAGTCAACAAACATCCACATCTTTGGAAACCAAAAATAAAAGACAGAAGAGAGCAAGTGATACTTACCCGTTTACGTATCGGCCATACACGACTTACTCATGACTATTTATTACAGCGCAAAAATAAACCAGTGTGTGAAGTGTGCAACAGTGTTCTCAAAGTAAAACATTTTCACTGTCCTAAATATTTCAGTGAACGACTCAAACATAGCATACCCAACTCCCTTAGAGATGCCCTAGAAGAAAATACAGATACCGAAAAATATTTTCTTATCTTAAAGACTGTCAACTCGTTCAAAAGATCTAAAACATACATTGTAATACACATACATATTAATATATATTGTGTATACACTAATTGTATTAACTGTCACATTAATCTAAATACGCTAATGACCCTGCGTGGTTGATGCGTTATTAAAATAAAAAAAATAATTTGAAATGGTAATATAAATATTTTAATCCAGTTTTATATTTTTTAAATACAAATCACCCCAGTAACACTTTCACTGAATACGACTCCAAGAATATTTGAGCAATAAATTAATTAATAAATCACAGGTTCACTTACATACACTCTCATTGTAATAAGCAATTTGAATTTCTAAACACCTTTGAAATCTATGCACGTATAAAATTTAATACCTTAATAAAAAACTTATATAGTTTTATTCTGTCTCCCCATCTCCATGAACTATTGGAACTATTTTGAACGATTGCCTCCCACTATAAGGTCAGATGTCATATTTACCTAATTCTTTGCTCTCAGTATTGTTTTTTTATGACTACTGAGAAGATTCGTTAGACCAGTAGTTGACTAATTTTTAAATTTACATTTGGCGAAAATGATAATGATTATTAAATAACAGCATAAATAAATGTAAAATATATTCTATAAATAACTCAAAAATTTTAGTTCATTACGTGTTTGTTTTATAATTATTGCGATTTAATTAGTTGTATAGATATCTGGTATAATTTTATAAGTTTATGGTGCAAGTTAGTTTATTTTAAAATATACTGCTGAACAAAAGCTATGATACTTTTACAGCAACAGCTAAAGACAACAAAAACAAAATGTTAATCGGTGTGACATTGAAAATACAACAAAAAATAAAGATCAGAATATTTTTTATTTTATATTTATTTGTGATTTATACAATATCTAAAGAGAAAACATATAATTAAAATCAATCGTTTTTTTTTTTTTTTATTTTTTTTTCGTCTTTATAGAGGGGGGGGTCTAAAATCTTCAAAGAATACATCTAGTCCAGGATGCCGCCTGACTGACCTTAGTTCATGATTCGTTCTTCTTACACTTGGCAATAGTTCCCGAGGTACTTTAAAATGCCCTCTCGTCGCCGAGTCTATGCCAAACCTATCTGCTGAACCAGACCTTCCTCTGTCATCCAGCGATCCGGAAGCGCAATGGCCGCTATAAGGCTGGCATCACTTCCGAATCACTACCTTCATTCATTCATTCTCCATTTATCCGGTATTTGAGGTCTGGCTTATCCCGGGCCACTACCAGTACAGCGAGGTCATCCACGAATGTGAAGGGGGTTGTACCCTCTCCGTATTCTATCCCTCCGTATTGAGGGACCCCGGCCGTCACGTCTATGATAGTGCCATTTTCCACCTTAATCCTTCTCTCGGACAGATACTCCGCGACCACATTTATCAGGTAATAAGGAGATTCTCTCTCCTTCATTGCCTTCATTACCTCGTTATACTGCAGCGTATTGAATGCATTAATAACATCAAACAACAGCAGAGCCGCCCAGCGATGTTCATTTGTTCTGTTGCGTAATGCTTTGAGTACACTCATGATTGCATCAATCCTGCTTTTCCCTTTACAAAAACCAAATTGACTTCGAGATACACCACCTGACCTCTCAATCATGTCGTCTATGCGTACTCGCAGCATCCTTTCATACAGCTTACTGATGCATGGAAGAAGACAGATAGGGCGATAGTTTTCCCTAGGCTTGGGGACCAGTAATAACCTCGATGTCCTACAAGGCTCAGGAAAGGTTTGTGCTTCCAGCAGTGCATTCATGTGTTCCAGAAACCACGCAGGCTCTGCCCTTCCTAGACCAAATATAATCGATTTACAAATCTTCAACATAAATTTATTTAAAAGTCACTACGCAAGAGAACTACACGACTTCAGACATTAAGATTTTTAGCAAACACTAAGATGATACCAAATTCACAGACTCTATCTGAAAAATGAAACACCAACGCTTGCTAGTATACTGGCAGAATTTTTTAATAGATACATAAAGTATATAATATACCTGAAAATTGAAGCAAGGATGGATTACACGGATCAACAAAAAAGGGGATAAGGCAGACTGCTGGATATCAAATACCAGCACTCTCAGTAGATTATATGGAAAAAGTTATGAAAACCATAGTCGAAAATTAATATGAACCCAGCTAAATGAAAAAAAAATTGCTAGGAAAAGACCAACTCATCTATTATTTGTGGACTTAACGAAAGCTTATGTTGTACGCTATGGCAAGTATTAAAAAGTTTATCTATTAATATCACATTTGTAAAAGCCATATAACGATTCTACAACGATCTTTGATTAGAGATCAAGGTTAACAACCAGTTGGCCGAGAATTTACAGTAAATAATAGATTAAGACAAGACTGCAGTTTATCTCCAAGACTCTTCAAAATTTACTGAAATAAAGCACTGAAGAAATGGAGCGGATAATGTTCTGGCATAGATACAACATTAAAAGAGGAAACTACGTTATATACGGTTCGTTTCACGGACGATAAAGTAACTATAGCACAGGATAAAGAAGATTTGCAATTCATGACAAAACGATTAATACAAGAATACGAGTGATGGATCTAAATGTTAATTCAACAAAAACGAAATACATGTGCATAGAAGGAGTTGTAAATGATGAACTTAACTCAATAATGGAAAAGGTAATTATCATGTTATGAATATATCTATTTTAAAGCAAAAATGGAAAGAAATGGACACGCTGAAACAAAAATCAAAGAGCGATTTATAAATGGAAAAAAAAAATATAGGCATGAAATTAATTTATCATCATTGGCTTTACAACCTATAGTGGGTCTTGGTCTGTTCTAGGATTAGCTTCCATTTCTTTATATTCTTCGCCTTGGGTTTCCAATTTCGTACTCTTAACACTCGTAAAAATCGTGTTCCACCTGGTCCATAAATTGTGCCTTTGGCCTGCCTCTTCTCCTCACTGTATTTTTGTATTAAACATTTTAATCTTTGTAATGAGAAAGACTTTTTAAAAGGTTAAGATTAAGGTAAATCTCCTAAGTGGTAAAATTATAGCGCCTATGCCATCATTCGTTTTTTTGCCCATTTTGTCTGAGGACTTAAAGTTCAAAACAGCCTTAACGTTCTTCATCGCTTTCTGTCACCATCCACGTTTCTGGCGCTACAGTGAGGAATGGCTTAAAAGAGTTCTATATCATGATTTTCTGTTTTCTTTATATACATCATCTTATATATATATATATAAATATATATATATATATATATATATATATATATACTTCTAGCGGTTAATGTAGGCTCCGTAATAAAAGGGTATTATACGAACTCCAGGAGAATATACGCCGTGTATATTATTATCTAAGTAGCGCTTTATGTAGACTCCGACCAACACGTCGGATCAAGTGGACTCTGTAATAGGATAAAACATTTTTGGGGCCCGTATATAACTTTTCGCGTACACTTCTAAACTCCTGCGATGTTGCCAATATTAGTATTAGTAGTAGATTTTAAAATTTTATAGCCGGTACATTTTGGAGCTTATTATTTTCAATTACTTTATTAATTACAATTATTTTCAAACTTAAAAAAGTAACTATAATAAACTTGAAAAAGGTTAGTTTCCATTTAATATATTATTTTTTTTTAAATGCATGGGCACTTAAACATTTAGTCTCTAAATGTACGAATATCGAGTAGAGTTATCTTGTAATAGTTGAAGAAAGTAGAAGCCTTTCGGTAGGATTACAATAAACTACATAAGATTAAAGAGAACTCTGAAAACAGATCTTTATAGTTTTTCAATTACTGTAGTTTATGACGTGCAATATTTGTTTCATAGAGTAGTTAAATTTATACAATAATAATTTATGTGAAGTGTTTAAAGAAGTAATCACCAACCTTTATTAGAATACGGCACAATAAGAAGATGAAGCTTACTATATATTGTTTACTTATTATATTCATAAAAAGAATATCTAAAGTAAAATTTAACACATTTCAATGGCCTGGAAGTGAAATTTTACTTCTTATTACGATACCGGATCCTGGACATTGCACGGTAGTGTGTCATACGGTTTCATCTTTCATATAAACATCGATTGTTTTTAGTTTTAGATGTATTAGTAACATATCTACCTTAAACAGTTTTATTTTACATACATTTAGCACATTGGCTCTGACAATGACCTTTAAATATACATTGTTAAAAATTGAATACATTAATCAATTTAAAACGTTCTTTGTTGTCTTCTGTTTCTTTATCTGCATTTTGTTTATTTATATCGTTTCCACTCATAACAAATATTGAGTAGTTTATTGTTTCAGTAAACTTTCTCCTTATATGTCGGTGTTATATAAGTTGTCTAGTTATTATAGCGTATATAATGTCGTACGTAAACGCCATTTTATTTAACAATAAAACACTGAAAACTTTATTTTTAAAACTTCGACAAAATTAATTCTATCTTATCACTACAGCTGTTTCGGCAGAGTGCTCTTCTCAAGCCTCAAGTATCTCGAATCCATCAATCAGCCATTGCATTTCTTATACTTTTATTTTAATCCTCTCCAGTCAAAGATTTTGAAGCAGCTTTGCTCCATTAGTCCATTTTTGTTGATTTTTGTCACTGTTTCTCCTTTCTCTTTATCATCATCATTACGTAGCGCTACAACACTGGGTGGGTCTTCGCTAACTACTATTTTTCTCCAAGTTGACCGATCTTCCCACGGATCTGCAATCAAATGAAATGTTTATTTTTTAAAATTTGATTGTATGTTGTCTCTCCATTGTATATTGAGATGTTTAAGTGGCATTCTTCTGTGCTAACTTCCTTCCATACAGTTTTACAAGTTTGACATCTTGGCGTCTATGCATGTGTCCGATCTACCTTAAGCGATTTTTTTCCTGGACAATATCGTTATAAGAGCTTTCTTAATTTAGTATGTGTTCTTATTCGATACGGATTTGTAGTGATATGATAATGAGGTTAAAAATTGTCGTATTATTTTTTATTTATTTTGCTTCAACCACTTAGGGTTATTAGCATAAGAAAAATACAAAAAGTGATAAAGACTTAAGGCATAAACCAAATATCAATTACATAATAATGTATACAATATATATTTAAATTATTAATGTATTGTATTAAATTTTATTAAAAAAGTTATTGATTTCAAGAATTCTATCAAGTCAGCTACATATTTAGATTCTCCTAGAAGTTCTTGTAATGTTTTTGGAATGTGGTAATATAATCTTTCAACTAAGTAGATTGGACAGTCAATCAAAATGTTCTTCACTGTCACTTTACATTCACAGACAAAACGCACTGGTTCCTCTTT